ATACCCAAATAATACAAATAATCCACAAACTGAGCATAAAACATTATGTTTAAAATATTAAACATTAAAAGTACGGAAGAGTAAAAGGGTTTTGACCTGGCATATAACATTGGCACCAGGCGGGCCTCTCTGGGTTAAGGTAAAACAACTACGAGAACCAAAAGGACATAGAAATAATTGATGGCAACTAGAAAAAAATAAAAGAAAATGTGCACCCATCTTGTCTCTTCTTTGCAACACCTTCAAACAAAATTAAAAAGCATCCATTTCATGTTACCTTGAGTTGAACATACGGCAGAAACATTGTCAACCTTTACTAGACTTATCCTTTTTCCAATAGATAACCATTGCAAACCAAATTCAATAGGTTTCAAACCCCCTTTGTGATGTAAATTCTTACTCTTTGGTTTATAGTTACTTCTGACTTTTGCCACTTCCGATATGCAAGGGTTTTTTTTTTCAATTTCTTCCATGCATAGGGGTATCAGAAGAGTTCTCTGAAACATCCTGGAACAACCCAGTAACTGGTGCTGGTTTTGTGCTCTTCTCTCATAGGTTTTGAACTAAAAAAATTAAAAATACTACAGCTCACTATACAAAGTGGCCCTGATTAATATCCCATAGTTTTTTGTGACAACAGAGCATGCTGAATTGGCAGACAGCTTAGAGATTCCAGTAGCAAATCACATTTTAGAAAAAGATCAATGATCTGCTGCAATGCAAGTGAGCTTTAAGTGAGGAAAAGCATAAACAGTCACAAAATAAAATGCATCATTTCATACCTAAACCATAATTTGAGTGTGGTAGGGCTTACTCCCATCAATTTCAATTTATGGCTATTCACATTTTTCCAACTACTCATACAAAGAAACACCTAGTTATTGCTATGGTTCTAAGAATGAAGAATTAAAAAGCTAAGAGGATTTGAATTTCCATGAGAATTTGTTTCCATAGTATTACAATTTCATTGGTTTCATGAGAATGTAAGATGATGTGATTCTTTTAAACTCTAAAATTTGAATTCAAATTTCAAATTCAATTGAAAATGAGCTGTATTTTAATTGGCATGTACCCATTGCATGGTTTCTACCAAAGAGATAATGGAAAAGAAATGAAAAGGGGTATGGAAAGAATTATTCATCTCCAAATCCTATGATTCCCATGGGGAAAAAACAGAGACTTCCCTGGCTGACATTCAAGGCTACAAGGAGAATATTGGACCCACCCAACCAAGAGAAACAACAAACTGCAGCTATTTATCTGCCCTGAACTGGAGTCACTCAGTTCATTACACTGTAATTCAGGCTACAAACCATCAAAACTGGTATCTGCCTTTCTAAAATTATGAAGGGAACAACTCCTCAAGGCACATATGAATTCCACAGCATGTAGAAAGAATATCACAGAGAGGAACCTACCTGCCGGCCTGCTTTATGTGTGAATATCATGGTCTTCCAGTTACTTGATTCATTACAGCTATATGCACCAAGACTCATGCATTTATATGCCACCCTTTCTCCTTTTGTGGAAAACCAAAGGGGGCTTACATTGGCTCCATTTTATCAATTTATTCCTTGTTTATTGACAATCTTGTAATCTACCCTGCTGTACAGGTGCACAGCCCTGGTTTTCTCTTTTAAATCTTCTCCCTCCTTTGTTCCTCAGGATCTGTAGGTGCCATGTCATGTCTTTTCCCACTTAAACTAATGCATTTACCTCCTCTCCGGTGCCCTGTTGCCTCGCCTTGTCCCCTTACCTCTACCCAGCATGCTGCCGCCAAATTCATCCCAACTGTCTTCATTGCTTAGATTAACACAATGTTCATCTTTAATCTTTACATTAACTTCCTGCTCACTTCTGGATTTAGCCCTAGTCCTTCCTCTGAAAGCACTCCATGGCCTTACCCCTATACCGCTCCAGTATCAGTCCCCCTGTGTTCAATGGTTCTTTCAGGTACACACGCTTAAGTTACAAGCCGAATAACGATTCTGTTTAGGCGTTTCTGCGAGAAACTAAGGCTGTAATTTACACGGGAGTAGGGCCCAGTGAATCAGTGAGGCTTATTTATATCCGATTTGAGCTGTATGGCAATAACCCTTGGGGAAAGCCCCTTTTGAGCACCATGCAGCTTGATTTCCGTAACTATGCACAGAATCGGGCGACAAATTAAACGCACACCCCGAATTTGCCTGTTTGCTCCTACCGACACTTTTCCAGTTGTATTTTATAATTCGCCCAGGCCTTACTGGGCCACTGACAAATAAAAGCAAACAAGCATTACGGCCCTAATCTTACCCACGCTGGGAAATGCTGCGAATTTAAAGACTTTTGTCCTGCCTAAACACGCACAGGATAGCGCCCTAGCAAACGGGCGACGCGAACAGGGCAGCTGCCAGCCAGCGCCAAGAGGAAGCGAGTCGCCAAGGGGGTGCCCGCCACGTCCTGAGGCAGCACACGTAGTTGCAGGACTGTGCCGGGCGGCCCCAGAGCAGAACCGCCAGCCCAGCTCGGAGGAACAAAGCGGCGGGCGAAAGGAGAAAAAAGCCGGCGGGAAGGAACGGTCCGGGACGGGCGAGAACCCCTGCTCGGTTACCTTCGTGGTGCGGATGTGCTCCATGACGCCGCGAGGACGAACAACGGCAACGGGAGACCGCCGCCCCCGTCCGCAGCTGGCCGCGCACCGGCGTCTCCAGGAGACACTTCCTGATAATCGAGTTGCGGGAGGGGGCCGGGCAAAGCAGCTAGAAAAAGACCGAGTCATTCTCACAGCGACCCCTGCCACGCGGAGGACCCAATCAGGAAGAGACTAAGCCGGTACCAGCGTTACTCTCTGAGTAGGTGATCATGTTACACCTTTCTTCGCTAAGGAAGGAACCTAAGGCGGCTCACATGTTCCCGTGCCTCTCCTATTTATCCTCGCAACAACCCTGTGGGGTAGGTTAGGCTGGGAGATTGTAATTGACCCAGAATCACCCAGTGAGCTTCGTGTCCAAGTGGGAACTAGAACCTGGATCTCCGGGTTCCCAGTACAATATTCTAAGCACCATTCCACACTGCCTCTCAAAAAATGGGAAACAAAGGAGGTAAATTGCATTTTAGGAAACTCTGGGCTTCTATCTGTTTTCAGGTAGAAGCCCTATCCCAGTATATTTTAGATTAATTATCAAACCTTGAATATATTTCACCTGAACTGAGTCCTACTGATCTTGATGGGATTTAAGTTCAGCAATGTATGCTTAGCTTTGTGAATTTACTTTAATAGCCTTTTTAATGATTTGCATAGTAAAACTGCTTTCCTTAAATCACTAGACAGTGGTTGCTCCAGCTCTCCCCTGCCACCCGCCCCTTGCTGTGTTCGGTTTGTTACAGGTGGGGGAAAAAAATCTACGAGGTTGTTTGTGCGGGAGGAGGCGACTATCTAGCTTGATAAAAACTTATGAAAATACTGAATGCTCTTTTGTAACATTTTGGTTGGTTCTATTGAAATGTATAAACTGTATTTTTAATCTGCCTAATAACAAGCTTTCTTTGGGTGGAAAGATATCGCCCAACTGGATTTTCGATTTCTTTACGGCTCAGTCCAGACCAGAACTTATTCGCACACTCTCTGTATGTTAAATTAACATAGCAAGTCTAGGGGAAGTCTGTTATTTGCTCGTTGTTGCTGCTGTTGAATGATTGCTATACTTGATAGTATATCTTTGAGCTGTCCATGGAAATGTCCCATATCTAGTATACCCCTTGCATTTCTTGTCATTGGGGTGTGTGTGTTTGTATACAGACACACACATATGCATACATATATGTCTCCTGATAAAGGATCCCATCTGAAGCATTTGATAAGTATCCATGGAAGCCAATGCCATAATAAACATGAGACATGGACATTGATTGGTGAACTGGTGATATTTGTGACATCATCTACCTGGCCAATCCGCTAGAGAATTTCAGACAAGACAAGGAGTCTGGGATACATTGACATGCTAATTAGCTGGGGAAAGGTTTACCTGTGTTATCTCCCTCATTTTTTACAGATGAAGCCGCTTGTAGACCACAGACACAGCTAGCAGCCATGTCCAGGAAGAGTAACCTTACTAACCTGGGACTTCTCTGGAGGGGTGGCTCTAAATCCAACAGGTAGGTAACAAGCTTTGCCGCCAATTTAGGGCCAAGAATGCTGTTTCAGATTTACGTATAAATCAGCAGCAACAATCTATATTTTTCATTATATTATCAAAATATTCTAGGTTTCTACATTTTCTCTGTTATGATTTCTTAATCTTCATATATTCTCTTCAATATTTTGATTGTTTTTGTTCATAAAATCACATCTCAAGTGCTTCTTTTTAATGGTAGTCTGTGTTAAAATCCATGAACTGAAAATATATAACACTGTACAATGCATACTCTCAAAGCTAATTTTAAATGCTCAAGCAAATAAACATGGTGCCAAAAGGAATAAAATATTGGTGCCAGGTGTCCCTCCCATGGCACCACATGTGGCATTGACCAATTTCATTCTGGCTTCTTGGAAAACTAATATTTACCGCCCCCCTCCTAAGAAGAACCATGGTGAGAAGAAGCCATCCATACATGCCTTACTTTTTTCTACACAACTGTTAAAGGTGTGGTAGCTCTGGTCTCATTTGCATCAAGCAAGCCTAGCCTTTATTTGCATTGCAATAAGCAGTGCAATTTCTCTAGCAGTAAAAACACAGTGTTTGAAATACTGAGGATGGGCTGTGGCTCAGAGACAGAGCACCTGCTTTGCATGTAGAAGGTCCCAGTTTCACTCCCCTGGCATGTCTAGGTAGGGCTAGAAAATCTGCCTACAATTCTGGGGAGCCATTGTCAGTCAATGACGTAAATACTGGGTTAAATGAACCAATGGCCTGACTCCATACAGGGCAGCTTTTTATTTTCCTGTGAGCTTACTTTCCAACAAGCATGAATCCTTACCTTTGCTGCTACTGTTCCAGAGGGTGAGAGCAGAGGGGGAAAGAGGACATAATTACAATTATGCTAAAATCTTAGAAGGCTATCCCTGTCCGCTAGGCCTGATGGCTATATGCTATACCTAGTATCAGAGGCAGCATACATACATATTTGTTTAATTTCTATACCATCCATTAGCTGGAACAGCTCTCTGGGAGGTTCACAAAATCAAAATACATAAATAAGCGCAATGTACAACGGTGAAGCAGTAGCATTAAAATCAAACAGAAATGATACAACAATAAAATAGGAACAATGAAATAAGCAGAATAAGCCCACACAGCTGTTAAAATGCAATCACATTTTTTAAAATGAGAAAAGATTAAATATTATTTAACCATTAAAATGCTGAGTGAATAGAGAGGTTTTATTCAAGAGAATTTCCTTTAGATAACCTGGTCCCAAGCCATCTTTAAATATTAATGTGAGTACTTTGAACTGGATCCAGACTTCAACTGGTAACCAGTGGAATTGGAAGAGGACTGGTGTAATATGTTCATATTGGCCAGATCCCATCAGCAGCCTTGTTGCTCTACTTTGAACCAGTTGAAGTAACTATCTTCAAAAGCAGCTCCACATAGAGTGCATTGCAATAGTCCAAGTGAGCGGTTACCAAAGCATGGATCACAGTTGCTAGGCTCTGCCTATCCAGATAGGGTCACAGCTGATAGCAGGCTACTGAGTCACCCTATGACCCAACTGAGAGTTTAGGGTCCAGGAGCACTCTAAGGGGGAATGGAACTCCATCCGGGACAGTTTTATGTCCCCAACTGACCACCAAACACTTCTGTCTTATCTGAATTAAGTCTCAGTTTATTGGCCCTCATCCAATCCATTATCAAGCCCAGACACTGCCTCAGAACAGCCACTGCCTCACCTGGGTTAAATGAGAAAGAAAGGTAGAGCTGAGTATTATCAGCATGTTGATGACGTCTCAGCCCACACCTTTGGATAACTTCCCCCATCCATTTCATGCAGCATGACAGATAAAATGAAGCACTGTGGTACCTCATGATATAACCATGGCACAGAGCATTAATCCCCCAATGCCACCTTCTGGAATCTGCCAGCCAGGTAGGAACGGAACCGTAGTAAAGCAGGGCCTCCGACTCCCAACCCAGCCATCCTATCCAGAAGGTCAATGGTAGTGAAAGCCTCTAAGAGGTCCAGGAGAACGGATGGGTGATCAGTGGGTGAGAAAGTGCTGTGGGATCTTGAGGCAGTTGCTTACTTTGACAAACGTGCACCCTCATTTTTCCCTCAGCCAGCCACCACAAATCTAGAGGACTTTAAAAGGAAAATGGGCAAATGTATGGCTGTCAGCTTTGCTGGCTATGCACTACATCCAATTTCAGGGTCTCTGTGCATATGGACTGCGTAGGTGGAGTAAAACTCGTGTGCTACTTGTGGGATTCTTGTGGATAACTAGTAAGGCACTGTGTAAACAGAATGCTGGACTAGATGGTCTCAGCTGACTCCTCTCGTATTCTTATGGGCAGCTATGTCTTGCACCTCGTCAAGGAGGAAAATAATGGCTTCCAAAGCGAACCCGTAAGTCTTTGATGAGAATAAAGGTGACTTATTTTCTATAATTTTCTTATCTCTATGGTCTACGTGGGCCACGGAGGGGAAGGAATAAATTCGCCGCTGTCCCGTGGTGCTGTGCGGTCTTGCACATGCGCGGCGGGAGGGCTCGCCTGTCCGTATTTTCTCGGGTGGCATATTAGCTGCTGTGCTACTGGCGTGTGTCGCGCGCCAGATTCCTTCTGCCGTTTGAACTTCCCGCCCGAGAGAGGTGCGAAGGGCGCAGTGTTTACCGTGAGACCCTAAAGCCTCTGCCGTGAGGGAGGCGGGGACGTTAGGCCAGTGTTGGCCTACTTGTCTCTAACCCCGCGCTTAAGGGCTTTCTTCTGTCCTCGCCGCCATGTCGGCGGCCTTCTCTTTCGCGACCGGGACGTTGCCTTCGGCCACCGCTACTGGAACTGGAGGCGGCGGAGGGGGGTTCTCGTTTGGAGCCACTCCAAGGTAAGCAGAGGGCTGGGGAGATATAAAGACGGCGGGCGGGCGGGCGGGGGGGGGAGGTCGATTGGCCTTGAAGCAGAGAGCCGGAAAGGGATAGGGGAAAGCTACATTCAATATTCCAATTTTCTTCCAACTCCTATGCCCGTTTACCTGGGAGTAAGTCTCATTTGAGGTTTACCTTGGAGTGGATGTGCATGGGATTGTGGGATTATTACGCCTATAATTCCCGACATGGCTGGAGCATCCCCGGAGCTGTAGGCCTTCTCTTCAGTCTAAACGGGTATAGAATTTCTACGGTAAATAGCAGCCGTGGTGGGGGTGGGAAAGAACAAAACTTGCGATTTACAACAAATACACAACTGAAAACACAGTAATGCCAAGTTGGAGATGAAGCACCTTAAGATGTGTACAGCCTGACCTATAAAGAGCCACTGCAGATAAAGCTTAAGGCTGTGTGCAGTTGTAGTTGCATTTCTTACTTGGGAATAAGTCTCTTTGATCTCAGTGAGATTTGTTTTTAAGTAAGCATGGGTGGGACAGAGCTGTATGGCCCCTCCCAGTACATCTTACAGAAGAGTTGTTGGATCCTCTGGCTCCTGCCTGGTTTTTTTCCCCTTTTGCAATTGGGCAAGCCCTTGGGCTTAAGCAGTTTCTCACTAGACATGTTTTGTGGGAATGGGTGATGGAGGGAAGTATGTGACAAGTTACTCCTTGACTTGTAAACCTATATGGACATTCCTGAATGATAGAACTTTACAACTGCTGTTAATAGCTCTCGCTGCACTTTTCTACTATGTGAAAACGATACTAAGTACAGGGTTAGTTGTTGTAGGAAGCATATTCAAAACAATTCTGATTAACATGCTTTTGACCCTTTTAAGTATTGCTGCAAGTTATTTAATAAATTTCTGGAGGAGTGATGTCCTCTTAAACCTTCTATTTTAGACAAATGTATTGGCCATGACTTCTAGGATTCTCTATTCCATTCTTGCCCAACTTGGCATACTTTGGATTGACTGCACCAAATTGGTGAAGTCCCAGCAGCCCCCACTAGTATAGCCAATGGTTAGAGATAATGAGAGTTCTACCAAACATGTGGAGGACACTAGCGTGGAGAAGTTTGCTCTGCTCTTTCCCCCTTCTGGTTTTATATTTCTCTCCCATCCCCACCTTGCTCATTGCATTCTTATTCTACCCAATAGTCAGAGCTGCTTTGGTGACTTACTACTTGATAAAGCAGTATAAAACACTTAGCACAATTTTAAAAACAACTTGAAACACTTAAAATATTGGAAAACCACAGTCACTGAGCATGTCCAGCCCTCATTGGATGCTTTGCATTTAATTATTTATTCCTATGTTCTCTTGCACTTCTGCAAACCTTGTTGTTCTTCCAAGTCGGCTGATACCTCTCTTTTGTGCATGGATAGTAATATTTTGGCTATGTAAATATTCTCAGGTAGATAATGTTGTCAGTGACTATATATCATCTCCAGTACTTAATATGCTTTAATAGCAGTTGCTGGGGAACCTGAGCAAGGATGCTTGTGCTGTTAATGCTAATGTACTGCTTGTGGCTATCCTATGGCCAGCTAGTTGGCCACTTTGTGAATTGAGTAATGGACTAGATGGACCTGTGTCATGTGATGTTCATGTTCTTAAGGTGATAGAAGGGGGCTAAGCTCACCAGTTTATATTGAATGAGTTAGCATGAGTGTTCTCTCAACACACTTCACACAGATGGTGCTATATTCATAATAAAAGTGTAATATCTTCAAATAATGAACATTAGAGATCATGTTTTGCTTGCACTTGATTTCCATATTGTAGTAGCAACCTTTAATCTGATTATTGCAGGTTAATATAGAACTTCATTTGGATTCCCTTAATACTTAATATTTTCAGCACTTAAACACACTGATAATTGGAATACTGATAGAAGCACTGAAACATCCCATGCCTGAAGTGTATGAATTTTTTGTAAGTAGTAATTAGTGTGACTTCAGAGCTGTTGTGGAAGCCTCTTGTCTTAATGCAAGACTGTGGTTAGCACTATCCAATATCTCTGCCTAGATTCTGAGTAACTGATGGAGAATGGACTAGAACAGTAGAAATAGGAAGTGGCTATTTATATTTATATTAAAAGAATTGTTCAGAATAGCTAATAACACATTAAACTAACCATGAAATAAAACAAAATTCAGAACATAATTTAAACATATCAACTGATAGAACAGACATATCCAATAAAATTAATACCTGCCTGAATACAAACTTTTTAGCTTCTGATGGAACACCTAGATAGACAAAGTAACAGAGCCTTCGTCTGTGATTAATTGTTTAAAAGATGTACATTTCTTTCCTTAGGTTTTCAGAGCCGTGTCAGCTTGAGTGTGCTCTAACTGCTTGCTATAATTATTTCTGTATTGTCTGATAGCCAAAGTTCTGAGTTAATTGCAACAGTTCACAAAGCACCCTTCAGTAAAAATAGGGGGGAAAGCAGCAGTATACAAATTTAAAGGATTAACAGCCAATACAATTCCAGTGCAATCAGACCAGCTGATACAAATGCTCCATTGCACTATCAGAAATCTTTAAGTGCTATTAAATGCCTGGGAGAAGAACTGGTGTTAGGATGTAGGAAATAAGGTTAACTGTACAATTGTACATTGTTTAAATCCTGTCCTGCAGACTGAAAATGGAACACTCATGCATTCACTAAATGCTTGTGTTGCCATTAGCAGTGCAGCTTGAGAAACAATTTGGGTTAAATTAAAATCACTGAGCAGATGACTTTGGGGATTCATGTCTGTTCTCAAAATAAAAATAACATTTGACTGATTTTATGATCATCACTTTGATAATGATAATGTTAGTAGTCTTTAAGCTAGGAGTAGGCAGCTTTTTCACATCTGTGAGCACATTTTACATTTTGAGATCTTCTTGCAGATACCACCTATATTACTGTCAGGGCCTGTATATCTTTCCCTTTCTTCTCTATCCCTCCTGCACTAACTTATTTTAGAGTAGTTTTATACCTCTTGTTTTAAAATCCTGAAGCAGTTAACAACATATTACAGAATGATAATCATGAAAAGCAGAGCAGCATTTAAATAAGTTAGTGTTTGGGGGGGGGGGAACAAGGTAAGCAAGCAGGTTTTCAGTAGTCATTAGAAACACATAATTGGTTCTTGACATAATGCAGAGAAGAGGTTGTTTTGAAGAAAAGGTACTTCCATGGAGAAGGCTCCTTGCTTTGTTGTTGCCAAGTGAGACTCCAAAAGGTGATGCACAGATGGCAAGTCTTTTCCTGAAGAGTCTAGTGGTCCAACAGATCTATAAAGCAGGAGATTATCATTCCAGTGACCTAGTTCTAAGTTGTTAAGATATTTATATATCAGTATTAATTCTTTGAACTTGACATAACAGCAGACTGTTAGCTAATATAAAACAATGGCACGATCCCTGTCATTCATTCATTTATTCATTCACATTTCTAGGCTGTGTATGTAAGAGATGCGGTGAGTCAGTGGGTTAAACTCCTGAGCTGCTGGGATGGTTGATCGAAAGGTCGACAGTTCCAGTCAGCACATGGAGTGAGCTGTGCTTCATCCCAGCTCCTGCCAACCTTGCAGTTCGAAAACATACAAATGGAAGTAGATAAAAAGGTACCACTTTGGTGGGAAGGTAACAGCATTCCGTGCACTTTGGTGTTTAGTCATGCCAGCCACATGACCACGGAGACTGTTTGCGGACAAATGCTGGCTCCCTCTGCTAGGAAATGGAGATGAGCACCACCCCCTAGAGTCAGACATGACTGGACTGTAATGACTTGGGGAAACCTTTACCTTTATAACAGTTGAGGCCTTCCTAGGCGGCTTACAATGCATTAAGCATATTAAAACATGTTAAATGCCTATTAAAACACTAACAAATTAAAACATCTATAATAACAGTATAAAAGGGGCCACAGCATTTAGGGGCTAAGTATTAAACACTGTTCTAAAAAGGTATGTCTTTGCCTGGCCCTGAAAAGAAAATAAAGATGGAGCCAGGCAAATTTCCTTGGGGAGGGAGTTCCAAAGGTGGGGAGCAGCAAAGGCCTTTCACCTGGTTGCCACTACTCCCATCTCCACGAGGGGTGGCTCTTGTAGAAGGGCCTCCTGAGCTGATCTGAAGGGGTGGGTAGATATATATGGGTGTAAATGGTCCTTCAGACAGCCGGGCTCCAAGCCATTTAGGGCTTTATATGTCAATACAGGCATCTTGAATTGGGCCCAGTAATGACTCTCCGACTCCCACATCAACACATGGCATGCTCACCCTATCTTAGTCTGTGAAAGCATGGTGGGAAGGAAGGAAAGGTGGCAGCAGGGCAAAGATAGTAGCAGTAGTAGCAGTCGTGATAGGTCTGGGGAGGAGAGAGAGAAGATGGAATGGCTGGCCAGCCCTGGTGGTGTTGGTAGCATGGAGAGAAAATACGGAAGAGTCTGGAGCAACAGCAGGTTGGATGTTGACGGAAAGATAGTGGTAATAGGAAGGAAGGGTCTGATACTCTTTGGGATCCAGCAGCCCACTTGATAATCTTGGTGTTTTCATGGGTGCCACACTGCAGATTCTTATTTTAAATGTTCTTGAATACATAAGTAAAAGGAAACAAGCAATAAAAACTCTCAAAAGATCGGCCTTGGCTTGGTTAGCAGTGAAATATTTATGGTTGCATTTACATTTTAAAAAGGAATGAACAAGCAACATTATTCTTGCTTTCAAACTTTCTTGTAGGACTGTGGCAATGAAGAAATAAGGAGAACATTGACCATATGTGGGTTGTGTTTAATAGCTATCTGTCTTGTTATTTAGCTCAACTGGAGGGCTTAACTTTGGAACATTGAGCTCAACAGCACCTGCTACTACAACAGCACCATCCATAGGCTTTGGAACTGGGCTATTTAACTCAAAACCTACCACTGGTTTTACGTTAGGAGGGGCTAACACAGGTAAAATATACCTATTCCATTTCTACTCTGTCATAATGAGCATTGGACTTAAAATTGACTTGAATCTTCTGTTCATAGTAAAATAGAAGACTCTCAAAATTTGAGCTGGCCTTTATTAGCATCACAGACTTGATTTTGTTTGTATATACAGTATTAAAAACTCGCAAGTTTTCTCAATATAGAGTAATACAGCTGCTTTGCATTCTTATGTCAAGTGTGTATGTTGTGTGAGATAATACTGTATCTTATATCAAGGCAATGCAGCTGGAAATATATTCTGTAAGTCACCATATTTGGCATATTTTGTGTTGGTAAAGATGAACTCAGTAACTGAATGCCTAATAAACATTATTCTTAAACAATTCAATACTGCTCATGCTAATTTTATATGCTCTGAAGTATGTCTCCTCTTTTGTTTGAAGTGATATGTTACAAAAAATAAGTTCAGCAAACTTAAATTGTGCCCAGATAGCTCAGATGGCAAGTACTTATGACATTTTGAATTAATAGGAACTTTTGTGGACCAGGCTATGATAGGAAGTTTCGTCTTTCTGCCCACTCCCTAACTGGAAAATCTACAGGCAAACCTACAGGAAGGCATTTGGTGTCTATACCTGTATTCTATCTACCAAACAGTACCACTTAAGAACTTGATGGGTTAGTTACCATGGAGTCATTTTGAAGGCCTGATCCTTACCATATTTTTTTTACATATTCCTTCTAACAGCAAGTTTCAGTTAACGTTGTTGGAGAGTTACTAATGGAATTTAAGTTCATAATTTCCTGGTCTTTATAAATCTGTAAGGCAGTCAACAGTGGAAATGGAAATGTGCTTTAAACTCAGTATTTTCTTCTTCCATACAGGAACAGCAACAACTATCGCCACAGGATTAACACTAGGTAAGCAATAGCTTTGACTTTTCTTTAAGTGGAATGTGAGTGTTAGAGATTCTCAAATGGAATATTCTGGATCTCAATGATGAGAACAGGAATCTTGGTTAAATTCTGCTTATGGCTGTACCAGAACTGATCTTTTATGGCCATTGAACAGGTAGTGAAGTTGTGGTGATGTAAAGACCAGCCTGGCATTGTATTCCAGGCCACAGGCCTAATCCTTCAGCCATTCTTCTAATGGGTTCCTTGACTTCTAGTAAGAGAGGGACCACTCTTGTGTGTTAGAATTTGGTTAAGATGTCTTAACAGAGATCGTACTCTGAAAAGCAGGTTTGCAGACAGGATGTGTTCCTGCACCATGTTCTTTTACAAGATGTTAAGATAGCAGTGGTAAACAAGAGTATACTTTTATCGCGTATATCTAATGTATCGTCTGTAATCTTCCAATGAAGGGTGTTATAGAACTATTACTCATAGTCTAGTAACTTCCAGGTTCCATTTCTGTAAAGTACTCTTCGTGGAATTCTTATTGAAGATGTTTAGAAGTGGTAGCTAGTGCAGAATTCTTCAGCAGAACATATGTGCCCATTATTGGCAGCTATATAGTTTCTGACACACATTCAAGGTACTGGTTGTTAAACACCTTGAAACCATTCTATTTTAGTTTCTTCTCCCATACGCGTTCTGAGATAATTTGGAAGGCTCAGTCCAGGTCCAAGGAGATTAGGTGTGTGGTTGAAGTAACCTTCCCCAGGGAGATAGAGTAATATTATGCAGCAATATCCTTTATTCTTGTAAGCACTTGGTGTGGGGAGCATGGCAATCTCTTATGGCTAGGAGTCGTGTGTGTTACATGTTGTTCGGTGCTTTGTATCTGTACTTTCTAAATGTGACCTTGCTCATTTTCTCCTCAGTTCACACAGACAATATATAGTAAAATCTTGAGTAAAAGCTTAGGATTCAGCATATTTAAAATGTTCAGTTTAAAGAAACATAGAACCTGAGTGAGTCAAAAGGGATCTCCTGGGCCATCTAGTTTGACCTGCATCTCCAGCCAGTTCTGCTCATGACATATGCCTACTGTATGCATGCCCAAGAAAAATGAACTGGCAGGGGTGGGATTTGAATCCATGCCCCTGAAGAGATCGGAGCCTTAATCCAAAGCCTTAGACCACTCAGTCACACTACCAATTCTGAAGGTGAGAACCAGCATCAAAACCAAATTAAAACTGCTTTGTTCTTTTACAGGTGCACCTGCTACTACTTCTACTGCCACCACAGGCCTTAGTTTAGGATTCAACAAACCTGCAGGATCAGCCACACCATTTGCTTTGCCTGTCACATCTACCTCTTCTGCTCTCTCACTTTCTTCTGCTCTCACGTCAGCTCCAGCAGCAGGTAAGGAAACCATATTTTTCTGTTCAAATTATGCTCCTTTCCAGCATTTCCATTTGTATACAAATACATAGCCATCATTGTTCCTAAAATGTTTCATGCTGTAAATATTGTTAATCTCACATGGATTGCTGCAGTTTTTACAAAGACAGCAAAGCATTTGAGTCAACACAGTCTGGTCCTCAGATCCTAGTTCTGCAAAGCTGAAAATGTATAGTGGTATGTCATGAATAAATTATCATAAATACTGTAAACTAATAGTATTTTAAAACTCATACATTTTTACGTACTCATGCAAAATTAATAGTTGGGTTTGTTGCAGTTAATTGACAGGAGAACATGGGGCAGGCTAGAGATGCCAGTCTTCTTTTACTGCTGCAGCTAAAAGAAGCATCCTTTGTTTAATAGGAGGAGCAGAAAGCCAAGAACTTTTTAAATTTATTTCTTTATTCTTTTTCTGTACTGCCCAATAGCTAACTTTCTTTAGGTGGCTCACAGTAATTATGTTGTCAGCATCCCTGTAACTGCCCTAAACAGGGGCATAGGATTGAAGTCCATGCAATACAGCCTGGGAGTTCTAGCTTTAATAACACGCAGCAAGGACTTGTATCACTTGCTGTTCATTTAGCAGAGCTTTCTAGAGCTTTCTTGTGCATAGTAGAGGAAAAATATCACCAGTGTAGCTTGTTGCAGTGGGGTGTATAGAGTAGTTGTGCTTGTGCAGTGGTTATGGTATGAAGTCCAGAGGCCAGCTTCAGAAATACGTCAGCGGAGATATGGAACTCTTGCTTCTGGAGGTTTGTCCAAATATTCTGAAGACTCTAAGATCTTCTTTATCATAACACTTAACCGTGTATGTGATGGTTTTACAATTAGGGTCTATGTTATATTTGGTTTTGTTTAAAAGTATATCTCCTTTCCTGAGTCCCTGGGATGCCTTAATAAATATGTAAGAATATATGATCGAAGTAAGTAAATGAAGACACAAGTTACACCATTTACAGTTTGTGGAAGATACAGCAATAGTACCTGTATCTTCGTACTGATTCAAATAGGAGTAATTTATTTATCAGGAGATATGGTTGTTGGTATTGTGGGGGGGGGGGTAGAAATAAGTTTGTACCTTCAGATGATATGTCTGCTTAAAATTCAGCACCTTCTAGCTTTACATTGAACTTGGGAGGCACACTTGCCCCAACTACAACTGGGTCCACTGGACTTTCTCTTGGAGGAGCTTTGGCTGGCTTAGGAGGGGCACTCTTCCCAAATGCAAGCACATCTGCAACAGGTGAGATTCCTTTTATATATAGCTGTCCATGAAATCTGTCTAGAATGTTTGTCTTAGACATCTCAAATTGTCTGGCTGGATATCTCACTGGACATTTCATACTAGAAAGAAAGAGTTGTTGACTTATTCCAGAATTTTTCAGTTGGTGGTTATTTATGTTCCATGATCTTGAACAGCAGCATTTGTACCATTCCTTTTTGAAAACTCAGAATTCTTTCAAGCACAAGGCTAACATCTTGGAAAGATCCCAGTAGCACATACTTCTTACCAAAACATCTTATTACCTTCTGAGTGCCTCAGAACTTAGCACAGGAGGAGCAATCCTCTGCCTGCCTCACTGCTGGTAATAGGGGTGGGGTCCATATTTGTGCTGAGTCCCAGTAGTTTAAAGGGCATTGCTGAAGCTCTATGACTTCAGTTAAGACTGTCCTTTCTCTGGGAGTGGGATGGCAGGATGGGTGGTGAATGCAATCTTTGGTGGCCTAGCCAAACCACCAGACCTGTAAATCCCCATTTCCCACATCTGTATGTAAATTTACAGTATTCCTGCTGATAAATGTAGGGATAACTTGTGTCAGGTTTTCACTACTTACAGCTTACTGAGATTATAGTACTTCACCCTCCTCCAGTTTCATATTAGGCCTGCTGCTGTCTGACAATGATAAGATAACAATTATTGAATTATCTGCAGGGCTTGGACAAAATGCTTTTGGCTTGACTCTAGGGACAGCTGCAGCACCTGCTACTACAGTTAATGAAGGTCTAGGTGGCATAGACTTCAGCAGTTCCTCAGATAAAAAGGGTAAGTTTTAGTGTACTCAGCTTGGAGGGTGTATGTTCTGAGAATAATTATTAGAAGCTAGCTAATGAAAGGGCTTTGTGTCCCCCCCCCCCCCCCCCGGTAACTCAAGAGTCAGTTTCATACGTAACTATGGATACACACATACTATGGATTGAATTCTGTGTTACTTTGCATGAACCCAGCCACCTAGTGACCCAGAAATAAAACTCATAGTTTATTATTGGGTTGTAAACTCTGGGTGGTTCTTCCTGAGCTATTCTGGCAACAGGCAAGAGTGGTTTTAAAAGAAAAAACTTAGCCACTCTGCATACCAGTATTGCAGCATCACAGAGTCATCTGGGATACAGGGAGGGAGCAGCTGAAGAAAGAAGCAAACAGCCCAGAAAACAAAGCATCATTTGTTCAATGGTCTGCCAGAGAAACCATGGACAGGGCAACACCATGAATCAGATTGTGGGTTTGCATTATGTATGAACAAGGCCAAGAAGATCAGTGAAAATGATTTTCACAGATGATTATATTAAAAAAACAAAATCCCTATTTCTGTCTCTTTGGCATTGTGATACTTGATGCATGTTCTTAGCTGCACTGTAGGTTTTTAGTGCTTTTAGCAGTGGTACTCATTACAGCATTGCACCACTCTCTGATGCCAGCTACCTGTTGTAGCTTCTAGACAGAGTCCAAATAGCCATAGGAAAATCTGGAGCCACAGCTCCAAGGTCAGAACTGGAGCTCCAATTTCAGAGCTCCCTCCCTCCAAAGCAGCTAGCATGAAAAGAACCATGCCAGCTGTAGTGTCAAGGAAAGAAGACTGTGGCGGAAGAGAGAAGTAAGGCTCTGTCATGATACAAGATATGCTGGTGGTGGATCAGACCCTTTTCCTTGCAAGCAGAAGAAAAAGTCTTCTGGTTCAATTCTTTTACGGGGTGGGAGGGGCACAGAGGCAACCTTTCCCTCAGTGTTCCTCCCATCCTCAATGGGAAGCTACCAATCCTCTGAGTTGGTAAGGCTTGGTTATAGGCAGCCACACCACAATGAATTGTACCGCCCATCTCCTAACAGCCATTCTTTAATAATTCTTAGATTTTTATTCTGGTTATGGAGAGAGCCCCTGTTTTTCAGTGCCCAGCACAAACACGGGATAGCCAAGTAGGGGAGAGAATGAAATTAGGGCTGCTACCAATATGCTCTGTTTATACTAAGCACTCTGGCAGAAAGTGGTAGCATGCTTGCTTGGAACAAATGTCTCCATATAAAGTGAATAACCCTCCTAGAACATGCACACATGTGTCTCTGGAAGGGAATATTTTGACGCTAGGGAAACTTTTCCCCTTTCTGGCTGTGGTTTTGCCAGGAAAAAAGGCTGCTTTGATAGCATTGGCCTCAAGAACATTTGAATGCTGCTTTTTATGGTGTATGTGCATGTGTGTAGCCTCTTTAGAAAAGAGAATTGACGAAGCTGTTCAGCTTGAACAAAGTTATTTGATATTTTTTCTTAAAACAGAGACCTTTTTATTTTTTTGTTGTAGGAGACAAAACAGGAACAAGACCAGAGTAAGTGTGCCAGATACTGTCACCTTCCACATATACCTGCAGGAGCCTTAAGATCTTCCACTGAAGTCCTTCTTTGGGAGCCCTCTTTGAAGAAGTTTAGAAGAGCAGCTTCCAGAGAAGGGGCTTTTATGTGGTAGAACCCCTGCTTTGGAACCTTGCTCCCTAAAGAGGTGCGCCTGGCACCAACACTTTATTCATTTTGGTGCCAGGCCAAAACCTTTTATTTAGCCAGAATTTTTAAGATAGAAATTTTATTATGTTTTCACATGCTATTTCAATTGTGCTGCTTTGTTGTGAGCTCTCTTGAGACCTGCTGGTATAGATGGGATTTAAGTTTTTTCAATGATAAACAAATATTGTAGCTGCAGAAATTGCTTCTGAACTGTGGACTTTTAAAAGATACAGGACACTTAAAAGAATATTGATTAGATGTCAAAGCTAGTATACTGAAGCTGATGGGGATCCTACTGAGATACAGATCCCAGGAGGAATATACCAAACACATCAAATACTCCTATTTCTCATTCTTGTAATAAAAAGTTATTGGGGATAACTGAATGGAATAAGAAGAAATGTAGAAAAAGAGCTTTTGAAATGTTTTCTAGTACTTCTATCAGATATTATTAACATACAGTAGAGTGGAATAAGCTTATTTTATTCATTTAAACTTTTTGGTCACCTTTAAGTGTAAAACTGCTGTACTAATGCACTTCTTTATGGGCCCAATGTTGAAAAAAAGTTGCTACCCATGGTTTGACAGTACTTTGCCAATGATAGCATTTATATTATCTGTTGGCAGGGATAGTAAAGCATTAAAAGATGAAAATCTACCTCCAGTAATCTGCCAAGATGTAGAAAATCTCCAGTAAGTATTTTCTTAGTCTTTGGAATTCCAAATATCTATTTTAGTAATTATAAAATAATTCCCTCAGAATCATCTTTGACCAGTAGGAAAACTAACACTTTTTGGGAGGTGAGGTAGGGCAGGGTTGGTTTTAAAATTGACTTTTGACAGTTGTAGGGATTTAGTATATAGTTCACATGAAACTGAGGAAAACTTGGTGGTGATGGTGGGGTATTTAATTGTTTCCAGTAGAATCACTTGGGTATTTTTATTTATTGGTGGAATAACTCTTCTGGTTATTTCTCTCTCATTCTCACTCGTGTGTTCTCTTTTTCTCCCTCAGGAAGTTTGTAAAAGAACAAAAACAGGTTCAGGAGGAAATCAGTCGAATGTCTTCCAAAGCAATGCTTAAAGTACAGGAAGATATTAAAGCTCTGAAACAGCTTTTGTCAGTGGCTGCCAGTGGATTGCAGAGAAACACTCTTAATATTGATAAGCTGAAAGTGGAGACTGCTCAGGTGCAATTGCAGAAGCATTTGCATTATATTTGGAAAAAAAAATACTGTTAAGAAAGAATGTGCTTACCTGACTTAAAGCTATTCCTTTTACTTTTGCAGGAGCTTAAAAATGCTGAAATAGCATTAAGAACACAGAAAACCCCTCCTGGCCTTCAACATGAAAACACAGCACCAGCAGAGTGAGTAAATGTTCTGACATTCTGAATATAATGGGATCATTATATTATGTTTCATAGTTATCTGAGATGGATTGAAAGTGCCATTTTGTATCTGCATGGTGTTTTTCAGTAACTCAACATTTTAAAGAATTTTTGCTACAGTGTTGTGAAAGAAATAAAGTTTTCTGTGATAACAGGAAAGTTTCCTTTGCTTGTTGTATGAAGCAGAAATAACTTTTCCAAGTGTTCTGTGTTCTTGACAGTAGTAGCAACAGACTCTGTTTAGTAGGTCATATTTTATTTGTTTAAAGCATTTTTACACTGCTCTTTTCTGTACTAGTTCCAAGGAAGCTTATATGAAACCAATAACAAACAAGATAGTCCATGCTCATGCAGTTGCATCCTAGAAGATACAATGCAAAAGGAAAACAGGATGAGGGAAGGAGAAACAAGCAAACTCATGCACTAGTTTTAAAAGTTACCTTAGTATGCTTGATCTTTACAAAGAAGCCAAGATATTTTTTGTACTCATATTTAATCACAGCCATCACTTAAATGTTTTAAAAATATACTCTAGCTATTTCAGGATCTTGATCGAACAGTTTGAAGTACAACTGCAGCAGTACCGACAGCAAATAGAAGAACTAGAAAATCACCTTGCCACCCAAGCAAATAATTCACATATAACTCCACAAGGTAAATGTTAGTGACCTTCTCATGCTCTCTTAATTATTACAGTATGCAGTAACTTTAATATCCAGTAGACTTACAGGGATTTCTGTTCAGGGAGATAAATGTCAAAAGAGAATCCTGTGGATAGCGGACTTGTCACTGAGTATATGGAGCACTAGATTAGATGGACCTTTGGTTTGATCCCACATGGTTTTTCTTATGTTCTTAAGTCAGATTAACTTGGACATTGTTTGGCCTTTAGACTGAAGATGATAAAGATGCTAGTTCATGGGCCTGGTTCTTGGAAGTAGATTCTCACATGCAGAAGAGAGCCGCCACCAAAGCATTGTGTGTGTCTCACAATAATTTTGCACAGGTGTCTCCTTACCATGGGTTGCAAACATTTTTAAAAATTTTGGTAGAATTACCCACCAAAATAAATTGATTGCCAAATTATATAACTGATGGAAAAAGTATAGTCCTAGTGGTAATGTGATTTTCACATTTTAGTCTTACAGAAATTGATTTTTGTATTTTCCTGTCTCACAGACTTATCCATGGCTATGCAGAAAATTTATCAAACATTTGTAGCGCTAGCAGCACAACTCCAGTCTGTACATGAAAATGTGAAGGTAAAAAAACATATTTTAAGTCAAATTGTACTGTAGCCATTTAAATCACTGAGATATTTGTATTACATCTTATACAGGTGTCTTCCTGACTTTTTTATGTAGCAGAACATTGATGGAATAACACTGGCTCCAAAACTCTAGTGATTTTGTTTCCTTCATTACTGAATGTGCCCGACCTTCCTTTTTCCGACCTTCCTTTTTCTTTCAAAATGGAATAGACTGTGATAAATGTCTAGAAGGTTTTTAAGCTAGATGCTTATGAAACCAGGTTAACCTTTATATTACCTGTTCACAATTTTTACGGTATGGTTCAATGTCTTCATTGTGTAGTTAGGCTAGCAATTTTTTTAACCTTAGTCTTCATCTAGTATGAGGTGGCCAGACATATACAGTAGGTCCAGGGGTACACTTCTTTGTATTTTCAGTAGGAAACTTAGGATGGTTTCTGTATTTCTGTTGCTAAAGACACCTTAGACCTTACTGCTTGGTGCCATGTTTAGTGAGGCATCCACAGTCATTTCAGCAAGGACAGCTTTAGTTGATTTTGATGTGAAAATGTATTTATAACACTTCTTTCTTGCTCTTTATAAAACCATTTCAAGATACTTTCCAGTAATAAAGCAAATAAATATATTATTCACAATTAACCAAGATAAAACAGCTATGCAGCCCATGAATGGCCATCAAAAGATCTCACATCCCACTGAGAGCCCAAAAGTGCAATCCTATGCGTGTTGAGACAAGGAAAAAAGCCTACAGTTCCCCAGTCTGGACCTAACTTTTCCCTGTCTCAACATGCATAGGATTGTGCTGTATGGCAACAGGATGAACTTTGCTTGATTGTGTTAATGACTATACCCCAACTTGACCTAATAGAAGGGTAGGATATATTTTAATTAAAATAAATGGAGCAATTTGACACCCTGAATTTCTTCTCATTTTAAGTTATTTTACTAAAGTTGCTGGGTGTTGCTTGTGCTCTAGTTTCTAGTGTCTCACTGTTGGACTTCTACAGAACTTGAAATTTGCAAGGTAAGATAGGATGCACTTGAAATATCTTTTCTTGTCTCCTCAGGTGCTCAAAGACCAATATCTTGGTTTTAGAAAAGCCTTCTTGGCGGATGCTGTGGATGTATTTGAGGCAAGGCGAGTAGAAGCAAAGAAGTGGCAGAATGCTCCTCGTGTGACAACTGGCCCTACTCCTTTCAGCAACATACCAAATGCAGCAGCTGTTGCCATGGCTGCAACACTCACACAGCAGCAGCAGCCTGCTACAGGTCTGAGTGCATTCAAGTTATAGCTTTTAGTGTTACAAAAGCCGTGCCCTTGTGTAATGTTTTATATAAGGTCTTCCTTTGTTTTGGAAACATAAAAATTGTGAGTAACAATTCAACAAAACATAGGTAATAGAAAATGCAGGATAGCCTTAGCAATAATTATGCACCCAGTATTTAATCTTGTGATTTTACATGTAATAGCTTGTTTACTGTATTACTAAACCCTTTGGAATGTGAGTCTTTGTCACCTCTGAGAAGGCATAGGATAAAGTCTTTCTAAAAAGATGATACTATTGTATAAACTAATTTGTTGGGAAATCGTAATTCAAATTTGTTTTCCTCATGGAAAATTATATATATATTTTTTTACATTGCACTTTGTAATTTCAAATATGCCTCAAGGTGAAATATCATTAGGGTCATTATTTTTTTAACAGATTCAGCATGAGGATGCTAAACATAGTTGGAGTTCAAATTTGTATATAAATTTATAAAATCAAAATACTGTTATTGTGGTGGTACTCACCGGGAAGTAAGTATGGCTAGAAATTAAGCAACTGTGAGGGGAGAGGTGTTTTATTTCCACTTTTTTAAAAATATTCTTTTTTGGTCAAACTAGATGCTTGAAGTTAGAAGCTTAAGGTATGTCCCTTCCAAAGAGTTCTGCAGGTCACATTTCACATTTAGAGAGACCTGGAAACCTGGCTACTTTATTGCCTAAACATAGGCCAGAAAGCAACTTAAAACCCAGCTTTGTGCTGAAGTAGTCCTCTAGACATACCTGAAAATTCCCTGGAGCCTTTTTGCCCTGCTTCAGTTGCACCTTTGTGGGGGTTGGCAAAAAGCAACCTGGTACATGCATGCACATCTTACTACCTAGAGAACCATTAATTGAGGCACTGCAGTTCAGTAATGGGTTCTACAGGGTATTTCCAGCTTTGCCATATAATAGGTGAATCCAAATAGAACTTGGGAAGAATGAAAGGATTAGTACACCCTTCTAGGCTTACTAGAGCAGCATAACATAATCACCTGTGATTTTAATATTTTATTGTAAGCATGTAACAACTTTTAAATGCTCTTTACAGGATTTATACTGAAGAAGCTAATGGTTCAAGCAGTTACAGACCACATCTAGAAGTCTGTAATTTATAGTACCTTAACTTAAGATCTTTCTCAAGTTATTAAAGCAGATATACATAAAACATTACTGAGAGAGGGAGCAGCACTTTACCTGAAGTCTTAAGAATCTTGGTGGAAAGTTCTCCCACAATCCTAAATGTCCTTTCTTAAATGTGAGAAGATTAATTGATTTTGGTGGAACTAATAATTGAAGTAAGTTGCTTCCACTGACTGTATCATGAATTGGTGTCAGTAGAATGGATCCAAAGAATAATGGGCAAAATCCAATATTGCACAAGCAGACTTCTATTTCTTCCCCTTGCAGTCCACTGCACTCTCCCATCTTCTCCAGCTTCTTCATGACTACCAGTATCCAAAGAAAATCTTGGGGACATGCAGGGGACTGCACGGGAGATGGAATTTTCCCTTTTTGTGTTGACAAAAGCCATTCCATAGGTGGAAGGGGTTAACTGGATACCACCCCATGAGCGGAACAAAGAGTTGTTAGTGCTGTACAATTTTACTGGGATAATTGTAGTACTGTTGCTATTTTTGTGCTTACATAATACAATGACATCCTTGAATCTAGTTTCAATTTCCTCAAGCAATTCTGTAATACAAATGGTAGAAATGTTTTGGTCAATGGAAGGCATCTACTGCATGCAGAAAGGCAACTTTGTATCTAGTGTTTTGTCTTTTTCCTAGTGCTGAGACCAGAGAGGTAAGCTGATATTTGATGACTATCATTTTTATATTTTATTATATCATGAAAATGTAACATTGCAAAGAAGTTATTCATTCCACCCTAGAGATATTATGGTGTAGTAGAGTATCCTGAATTGTTTAGTTGTAGATACTGTGAATATGAAAAGCACTGTTAAAATTTGGAAGGGCAATAGCTAAATGATAAGACCCATGCTTTACACGGAGAAAGCCCCAGTCATAGATTAAAGATGCTTTGGTAGAAGTATTAGGAAAGACCTCTTCCTCAGACTTTGGAGAATCATTGTCAGCCTGATTAGGCAATACTGCACCAAATGGATCGATGGTTCATATGCTGTAACTGTATTACAGCCTTCTGTCTGTTCTTGATTCTGCTGAGACTGCCAAAGAGTAGCCAAGAGGGGGATTGCCCATTCTGTGAACCTGACTAGCAGTTGTTTTGTTTGCTTTTAAATAGTATACTGTAACTTGATGTTAGGTGGCATGGTATAAGTGAATATTTTTGTGTTTGTGGTATAGAGGGGAGTTTCCCTAAAGTAGAAAAATAACTTTCTTTGAGGTAGGGCAAGATCATAATTCAAAAATCAATAATGAAGAAGAAAATTTTGTCAGTGTTAAAATAATCTGAGTTTTGCTAGCTCTGAATCATTTTCCTAAACACAAACAAATGCCCGGGAGATGGTGTTTGCTCTACTGTAGACCAGCATCTATTGTTATGCCCAGTGCATGCTACAGTAGAGCTGCTTAAGCAGGTCTGGGTAACTTACAGCTTAACATATGAACTTAGCTGTTTTCATTCTAGTTACTTGGATAGCTGTGTGATGAATAATTTTCCAGGGACAAATAGTTTAGTATAGATATGACTTTAAGTGTATTTTGCTACTCACTGAGCAATTAGGAGTTGGTTGGCTTACCTAAAAAGCATGTTGCTTAGCTCTGCTCTAATGCCTTCTAGCATTTAATGCTTTATTGTGTCCTTTGCCCTTGCCAAGGTCAGTTTACAATTTTGGGACAAATACCTGTCCAAATAGACACTAAATTGGACTGTGTACTTGAAACAGTTTGATGGTTAAAATCCAATGCCTTGCCATAAAAAATGAGGTTAAACTAGAGCAGCCTTCCCAACCTGTTCTCCAGATGTATTGAACTACAGCTCTCATCATTCCCGGTCTAACACAGATGGAGGGAACCAGGTTAGAGAAGGCTGAACCAGGGTTAACTTAATGGTATTTGAAGATAGTCTAGCCAGTTTTCAGGTCATATTTGGACAATTTGGGTTGCACCTTTATCACAATGGAAAGACTTGAGCCTTGTCTGGCAAGCCTTGTAGGAAATCTTGTTGTTTACCTTAACTGGCCCCTTATGCCACATTCCTAAACACACTTACTATAGAGAGTAAGTTCCATTGAAATCAGTGGGTCTTATTTCCAAAAAAGCATGCATAGGATTGCACTAGTAGTTGTGAGTTATTTATTAAGCTAAAACTGTTCTTTAGGTGAATATAAATTTTAAATAGACTGCTGCAGGTAATTATAGTTTAAATTTTCATGACATGTTATCCAAAGGTAACAAGTTTACTTCTATGTTCTGGCATGAACGATCTCTAGCATTATCTAAATTATATACAATGTACCTGACTTTTAAATGAGAAGTTCTTTAATTTTCTGGTACAAAGTTTGATTTTCTGGTACTAATTTGAAATTGCCATTGAGAAATTTGTCAGCTTTATCTATGAAATCCTGTTTTCCTGTAACTTGAATATAAGTTTGACTTGAAGTATTTTAAAAATCTGGAAGGCATACTTAAATGCAAGCTTGACTTGGAGGACTATGGCGTCATCAAGTTGTTTAAAGGTCTTCCACCAATGTGCCTCTTGCTTTAATGGAAAACTGATATACTTCCTTTAAAAGAGAACACTGGATGCTTTTGTTGTTAGAAAACTGACTTTGGACTGGAAACTTTTAAAGGAGCTGCTAGTTAGAGTATATTTGTTTACATCAAGTTTTCATCTGTAAATGCAACACTTATTTATAAAAGAATAAAAAGTTAGATCAAGACTCATTTAGTTGAACTTGAATCCAGTAATTACTATACTTAGTTTCTATGGATTCCAGATAGCAATTAATTTCAGCTAACTTAGTCTGGACCTAACCCAAAAAGTTTAATTAGTCTATAGTGGATGCGTATGGAACTTCAACTTGCCAAAATAAGTGCTAAGTATTGGTTGAAAGTTCACAGCTCTAGTTGCCCTTTTAATGTAATGCTATCTTGAATATAACCTCATTTTTGCATTGAATCACCTAAGGTGTGGTAATGTTACTTGCAAAAGATATAATGCAAATCAGTGCCTTTTGCTTGATATTTGGTTATCTGTTTAATTAGCATTTGTGAGAACTAGAACCTCAACTTTTTATGTACTAAAAAGGCCACAAGGGGACCATTGGCACTGTCTGACCTATACAACATAGCCTACAAATTATTGCTAATGATTTACTTTGGTTCGTTTTAAAATTGCAGTCATGATAGATAAATGTACTGTAATGCAATAATGAGGCAGAGAAATTTGTAGGAGTCTATCAGTATCCAGAAGGAAAATGAAAGTGATTTTTGAGGAGACACTAGCTGGTACACTTGCTGGCATGTATGTGTATTCTGTACTGGCACTGCTGGATTCATATGGATCTACAAGATATTCTTTTTTTGGGGGGGGGGCAATCCAGAGAGTGCTGCTGTGCATTCTCTGTTCACTTTAATTGAGTTTGCCTGAGAACGGCATCTAGTGCATTGTACCCCTGGCCTTTAAAATGGGAGGAATATACAAATATGGATGGGCAAGCACAGTACTGAATTTGAGAAATCCTTCAAGTTTAACTAATGCACTGATTGCTGTGCTTAAAGGTGTAGGAATACAGATTGTACTGTGAAAATGGTTAAAGGTGCAATCAATCCTATGGAAATTTAGACAGAAAAGGGCTTACAGATCCCAGCATGCTGCAGCTCTGGCAGGGCATGCTTGAAACTGTAGCCTGTGTTTCTGTCTAAACTTGCATAGAACTTCACCTCAAATTGCTTATGTTAAGTTACTAGATGAACCTATAGATTTTTTTTGTTGCAATTTATTTATAGTGTGGGACTAGTAATTTTTTCCACACACAGAACAATGGGCTAAGGCCATACATTTGATTTTGGTACATTAAAGATAGATTTTGGCAGTGCGCATATGTAAGGAAACCACTGTCTCTTCTAAATGATGTTAGAAATGTTCGAATCTGAAACTTTTGAATGTATTGGGTAAGGTGCACAACTGTGCCTTTTCTGTAAATGTTTATTTAAACAGGCAAAAACTGTTGTAAATGTAGCAAAGTCCTAACAACTCAGTAACTTATCATTTTTGTGTGAACCAGTTTGAGTTGTCATGTTACTGTGTAATTGACTTGCTCTAAAATGAACAATAAATTTAATAAAACAAAGTCATTGTCTTGTGTGTTATCCACTCGTTTCACTTTGTTTTTTGTAAAAAAAAAAAAAAAAACCTGGAAGAATTATTCAATGAGTAATATCAGACATTGGTAACATGATGATTTTAATCACATAGTATGAAAGTTCATTTTTAAAGAACCAATGATAGCTACTTGTAGGAAATTCAGATTGTAGTCCCATCAAGGAGCAGAAATTCTAATTCAGAATGACATGCTAAGTTGTAATAGAACTATGGTCTCATGTTTTGGCATCACATACTCAGTTTACCTATAGCCATCTTGTGTTCCATATCTAAGATGTACCAATTTAGACAAAGATGGTCTGGTGAGGAATTGGAATTAAAATTGGGGTGCTTTAAAAAGCAATTGGTAAGCTATAATATATTTTTTAATGCAAGGGTTTACGTCACAGATCTCTTATTGCGAAAGAGTAAGGCAAGCTTTGTTTTCATTTTTTTATACCAGGGCCACAGCCGACTCTGGGAATTAGTTTTGGAACGCCATTCGGTTCAGGTATTGGCACTGGCTTGCAATCAAGTGGCTTAGGCTCTTCAAGCCTTGGAGGTACACTTTAATTTTTTCTAATGTTTCACTGAATTACTATACAGCACTTCCTGAATTGAACTAGGTAGCACCCTGCTCTTGCAGAATTAAGTCCGTATGTGCTTTATGCTAAATAGACAAGGAAACACCCCTATATTCCATGTAAATAGATCTGAAATAACTACTGGCCTCTGATTCTATATTCTCAACCTCCTGTTTTGATTAGAAATCCCACTGCAATTTTAGCCCATCTTGCAAGAATGGGGAAAGTAGATTCCTCTTTGTACTCTAGCCTTTCCACCATTCACAATCAAGATGGCTAATCTTCCTTGTACTCTTTCCTACACACTTTTCCGCCTATTTACCCCATTCCTTTGAGGGGGGACCTTTGGGTGTGACCCCAAAGACTTTTATCATTCCTGGAATGCATTGAATTCCTTATAAACGAGACATTTTGGAGGATAGGAATCAACTGCCTTAAGTGTGTATATTGCCTTGTTTTCTCATAGATAAATGTAAACATATCTTGATGTGTGCCTTAATCCTGGGGATAGGATTTATTTGAGAACTAATTACCTATCCAGCTAAAGAATTTAATGGTGTTAGCCTATGGTATGCCATACTAAAATTACAAAGACATTCATTTTGCCCTTGATATTACTAGTATACAGTTTTTCACTTTTGTAGCACATTTTGGAATTAGTTATGAGAGTTTGGTGGTGTAGCCCACACAATCCCAAGTTTTATTGTTGGTACACATATTAATGAAAAAGTAATCTTAGCGATATTTCCTGAGAGGTGCTAGCTTTCCCATGATGATGTACAAACATAAGGAACTTTTTCCTTTGAAATGATACATTACTGTGGATCCTGTGAACAGCCAGTGCAATGTTAAGTGTTCTGTTGCTAGAGTGATGAATTTGTAGATTAGCAAAGCAGAGCATGATTCTTGGAAGAACAGTAATTTGCTTTCCCCTATCTTTAAAGCCTGAATATGTAACTATTTACACACACATTCATGTGGATGAGATGAAACCTAAACTGATAAATGCACCTAGAAGCACTGTACCGTTGTTAGGAATGCTGGCCTGGAACTCAAAGAGATCTTGGTTATAGTCCATCCTCTGCCATAAAGCTCACTGGGTGATTATAGGCCAGTTGCTAAATTTCAGCCTAATCTAACTCCTAAAGTTGTCATTGTGAGGATAAAGTGGAGAACAGGAAAACCTTATAAGCTGAAATAAGTACTCCATTAACAAACAGAAAGATGCAACAAGTGTTATTAAAATGTACTGCATCTTTTTAAACATTTCATGAACTGCAGCATGCACACTTGCCCTCCCTAACACTTCAATCATAATTTGCCTCCCATCCCTCAAAATAATTTGAAATATATAGTACAGCAGGTGAGCTGTTGGTTATATGTCCTTTTCTGATTTTCTGTAAAAAAAAAAAAAAAAAAAACGTGCTGCCTGTTACCCCAAAGCAAAAACCAGATATGTTCACCATCTCCCACTTGCTGTCCCACACAGTTCCCAGGAATGGAGGGAGGGAAACCAGAATTTTTCTTTCTGTTAAGTATAAGACCATTGTCTATTCTTACTGCTCTGTAAGCTACTACATCTATGTGAGGAATATGGAACTTGCCTGCAGAAAGTTTCTGGTAAGATGATAGTCATTTCAACAAACATGAGCTGGGGATGGTAAGCTTCACTCATATTTGAGAAATGGCAAATGCTTTTACTTTACTTTACAAGCACAGGCATAACATATTTCTCATGAAAACAGGATTCTGTACTCTGCCCAGTAACTACCAGACCTTCCTTTGACCTACAACTCATGGGCATTTCACTTTGATTACTACTTTTATTTGTGGAGGGAGAAGATTATGTATCGAAATATAAGGACCTTGTCCAGTGCGTAGGTCCTTATATTCCTATGCATAATCCTACCAAATAATGACTTATTTGTAGGAAAGACCCTATTTTAAGGACAATCCCTCTAGCAAATGTAGATGACGTGATGTCCTTGGGCACCAGAGTACTCTTAGACATGTTTCTTAGTGCCCACCAAGACACCTTCCTCCTAATTTTTATTTTCAAAATATGTTTATATCACCTGGAATTGCTTCAAAGCAAAGTACTGCTATCTTAGTTTCCCATGAATGCCTCTAAACAGGTTTCTTGCCCTTTGTGCCTAACCATAACAGCCACTTGGTGTTTGTGCCAGCGGCACTTTCTCAAATTTTCAGATGTGCACACAAGCCAAACATTTGCCTGCCTCTGCTTTATAAGAAACTATACAAAATATACAGTGTAGCAGATAGATTTGAGGTTTGATTGGAAGAATGAAACACCAAAAAATACACTAGTTGTAAAATAACATGGCATAGTGGTGAGATTTACACCATTATTTTGAGAGTAGTTGAAGTATCAGTGAGGAAATGTGATTTAAATCCATGATGTAAAAAGACCTTTTTTCTTTCTGAATACCTGTTTCCATTCAGTTAGCAATGGGGTCTTGTGAAAGTAAACCTTTTTTAACCTCTGCAGTTCACAATCAAGTGTTTTTTAATGTCACAGGCAGTTAAGAGACATAGATTAGCTAAAGGGACGTTTTGAAAGGCCAAATCATTTAAAGCAGTCCAGTCTTGTATGTGCCTTAACTTGTGTTCCCTGTCTTCACTGCTGTTCCACTAGGGTTTGCAGGTAGCTCTGGTTTTGGAAGCAGTGCCACAGGTGCACCATCATTTGGATTTGGAGCCACAAATAAGCCTTCAGGAAGCCTTAGCGCAGGTTTGTTCTATTCTGGATGTTCAACTATCTAAGTTATCAGTACCAAGTTCATGACATCTATCTCAGTCATTAAATTCAAATCTTCCGTTTATATCAAATACCAATTTAGAATGGTATTAGACCAGAAATAGGCAATCTGGTGGCTGCTAGATGTTTTGAATTACAATTTGCCATGTTGACTGAGTTGTAGTTCAAAAATCTGGAAGGCATCAGGTTGCTGTATCAGAAAAGCTTGCCTGTGAAAGGCTCATGAATAGAAAAAAATGTGTTTGAAGTTCAGATATCTCTTCTGCAAGTCCAACAGTCTGGATTCTCAGAATCACCCTCCTCATTCCACATGAACTTGAGGCTTGTTTAGATATTGGCTGCTGAATGCTGCATAGCAAATCGCTTTTGAATATGAAAAAAGCTTGAATGGAACCTTTGGTATGACATGAGATTCACTTGCTTAAAGGAGAAAAAGTCCAAAGTCTTACTGAACATGCAGAAGCCATTGGTTGCATCAAAATTTATTCTCTTCAGTTCTGAGCAATATCTCCCTGAACAAGCTGTGGTGTTTCCAGACATCAGTGCTAATCTTATTTCTTTGTTTTCTAAAAATGTCTTAATACTGCGACCACCGCAAGTTTCTCTCAGCCTATTATTAGATGTTTATGTTAAGACTGACCTGTTCCTTTTTTCTTTTTTTTTTAAGTTCATTGTTCGTGAACTAAAGGTTGAAGTTAGAGTACTCAAAATATTGAAGTTACATGAGCACTCTTGGCATGGTTGGCCGTATGGCTGAACTGGTGAAACGATTTGTTAAAAAGGAATTACATTAGAAAGGGATACATGGATGATAAGGTTATCAATGGCTGCTACTCACAAAGACTACATTACCTCCAAATAAGAGACAATATGCCTTTATATGCAATTTGCTGGGCAACCCAGCCAGAAGGATGTTGTCTCACTTATGTCCTGCTTGTGGGTGTCCCATGGGCAATAGTTTGGTCATTGTATGAACAAAATGGACTAGATAAGCTTTTGGTCTGATCCAGCATGGTAGTTTTTATGTTCTTAACTAGCCATACTTGTTTTGTCGTACATTTCAGTTGAGTACAGTTTCACATACTAGCTTGTAATAACTGGACAAAGTAACCTTTTGCCACTGTTCATTCATTGCTAGTCTACAGTAGTTTCTTGCATGCCAGTATTTAGAGAAGAGAAACTGATATGATACTTTTTTTGCTTTTTGCCTCTTTGCACTAATGAATGAAGTAGTTGGTTATCCTAACAAAGCATCAGAAAACTGGCAAAAGAGCCTTTGAAAACTAACAAACTTTTTATAGTATAAGCTTGTGATCATATCCTCAATTGACAAGGGTGGGTATTTATGCATGTATGCATGTGGGTAGAATGAAATAAACTGTGAGCTTCAACAAAATGCAAAAAAGAGAAAAAAGATATGCAAAATAAGTACAGTGATAATTCACAACAGCAGTAATTGGTGTCAACACAAACTTAGCACTGTTAAATTAACATTTCTGTTGGGACAGGAAATTACTGTGTTTTTTCAGACAAAGATGAGAGGAAGCAAACTTCATTTTTAATCTTAATGTAGCTATTTTATGTTGGAGTCTCTTCTTGACATTCCTCAGTTGGAGAATGCTAACT